TGTGTTACTACCTCGACAACCTGCATGCGGCCTACAGCACACCTGCGGATGGTGAGCTTACCCTCAGCGAGGCGTTTATCAGCTACCTGGAAGCGATTGGGCCCATTGGGGCGGAATTTGCGCAACTGACAAAAGAAGACGCTGCTGCTAGCGTTGAGCAGGTGGCGCCCGGTGATGTGTGCAACGGATCATTGGGACCCTTCAGCCTGCATTTCGAAGGTGGAGAACTGCGCCGAGGGTCATCAGTGTTCAGCGCCTGGAAAGCGCAGCGGATTACTGATGTTTATGAGGCTATGGACGAGGCGGATCGCAGCCGCGCCCGAGCACTTGCCAAACGAATTGGCTGGCTGACCTTTTTGGAACGGCCTGCTACCTTCAAACTGCAACGTGATGACTATCAGATAAAACGTGCATGATGCTGACTCTTGATAATTCAGTCACTTAGATTCTACAGGCGTTGACACGGCGCTCACGGGATCCTAACGCTGCGTTGACGCTGTACCTGGCAAGCTGCCTTCCAAATAAAGCCCGAAGGAGCTTTTTAACGTGTTAAAACAACTGATCATCATCAGCTTATTCACCCTCGCTGCCAGCGCACATGCCACGGCGCCCAGCGAGCAGCGCTGGGACTTCAACGTCCTTCTGGATCAACAGAAAATTGGTCAACACAGTTTTGTTGTCCGTCAGGAGCAAAGCGCCGACAAAGGCATGTTGCAAACCGTGCAGATCGATGCTGATTTCAATGTCAAAGTCCTCTTCTTCAATGCGTATTCCTATCAACACACCAACACGGAATCGTGGCAGGGCAACTGCCTGGTTGCACTGACATCGCGGACCAATGACAACGGCGAAGACCTGGCCGTGCAGGCTTCTACCCGGGACCAACGTTTTGTCGTGCAAACCGACAGCGGCACTGACACGTTTGCTGCCTGCCCGATGAGCTTCGCTTACTGGAACCCCGCACTTCTCTCAGCGGACTCTCTCATCAATGCGCAAACCGGCGAATTAGTACCGGTTGAAATCACTGCCCTGGGCAGCGAGCAGGTCACCGTTGCGGGTGAGGTCTTAGAGGCAAATCACTACGCGCTGACCCTGGAGGAGCAAACCATTGAGCTGTGGTACGCAGCAGATGACTATCGCTGGCTGGCCCTTGAAACACCGGCACGTGGCGATCGCACCCTACGATACGAAGCGACCGCGCTGCCTGCAGCACAATCACTGGCACAACAGCCCGCTTATCAGCAGGCCAGACAAGCGCTATCGGGGCAAACCAATGCAATGGCGCATTAATCCAACAATCGGGAAGGCAATCATCGTGGCATTCATCAGTGGACTCCTGGCGGCCTGTCAGAGCAGCGCGCCAGATAACCCGATTCGTTCCGCCGACTTTGTCGACCTGGATCGGTTCATGGGCGATTGGTATGTGATTGGCAACATCCCGACTTACATTGAACGCAATGTATACAACGCAGTAGAAAGCTACGAGCGCAAAGATGCACGCACCATTGCCACAACATTCAGCTTCAATGCCGGCAGCTTCGACGGCAAACGCAAAGAATATAATCCCACTGCATTTGTTGGCGAAGATCCGTCAAACGCAATCTGGGGCATGCAGTTTGTCTGGCCGATTAAGGCTGAGTATGTTGTGGTCTATGTCGACCCCGAATACCAGAGCACGATTATCGGCCGCACCGCCCGGGATTATCTCTGGATCATGGCGCGCACCTCACAATTACCAGAAGCGCAGTATCAGGCGCTGTTAGACATTGCCGCTGCTGAAGGCTACGACGTCGACAAAGTTCGCCAGGTACCACAGAACTGGGACTGAACCCAAACCACCCCTCGATTCTGCGGCCACAGGCACTCTGAGATCACACACTTTTGCGCTAGTATCAGACGTCCAAACCTGCACTGGGGAGCACAATCGCATGGCACAGGATCTGACGTTCGCTACCGCTACTGAACTGGCGGGCAGAATCGCGGCAAAAGAGGTCAGCTCACGGGAACTGACTGACCATTACATCCATCGTATCGAAAACCTCGACGCCAGCATCAACGCAGTGCCGGTTCACACCTTCGAGCGCGCGCGGGCAGATGCAGACGCCGCTGATGCCACCCTGGCAAAAGGCGAACCGCTGGGACCACTGCACGGTGTACCGATGACCATCAAAGAGTCTTACGTCATGGCGGACACCCCAAGCACGTGGGGGATCGAAGCCTTTAGAAACAACATATCCGACACAGATGGTTTAGCGGTACAACGCTTTCGCTCCGCGGGGGCGATATTCCTCGGCAAAACCAACGTCCCGGAAGATCTGGCAGACTTTCAAAGCTACAACAGCATCTATGGCACGACCAACAATCCGTGGGACACACAACGCGTTCCCGGCGGCTCTTCCGGTGGCAGCGCCGCGGCCCTGGCGGCAGGCTTCTCCGCTCTGGAAGCCGGTTCAGACATTGGCGGGTCGATCCGCACACCGGCACATTTTTGCGGCGTTTATGGACACAAACCCACCTGGGGCATCGTCCCCCTGTCCGGTCACGAACTTTTTCCCGGGGTGCCGGACTCTGACCTGGCCGTAAGCGGCCCGCTGGCCCGTTCGGCTGAGGATCTGGCGCTGAGCCTGGATATCATGGCGGGCCCCACCCAACGCGAGTCTATTGGTTGGCAGTTGAATCTACCGCGGCCTAAATTCAAATCTTTAGCTGATTTGAAGGTAGCCGTCTGGCACACGGATGATATGGCACCGGTGACCCGGGAAACAGCAGATCGCGTCCAGCAGGTTGCAGACGTGCTGGCCAAAGCCGGCGCCACAGTCAGCGACAGTGCCCGACCGGCATTTGACCTGCGCGCCGCGCATGCGACCTACCAGAGTCTGCTCACAGCGGTGATGTCCGCAGGCAAGCCAGCCGAGCAGATTGCTGAAACCCAGGCATATGTAGCGAGTCTCGACCCCGCCGACGGCTCCGCTGATGCAATCAATGCACGGGCCAGCGTGATGCTCCATGGTGACTGGATTCGGCATAATTTCCGCCGGGAAAAGATGCGTCTCGCCTGGGACAGCTTTTTCAGTGAATGGGACATTCTCGTCTGCCCACAGATGACCGTGCCCGCTTTTCCACATGATCACCGACCTTTTGCTGAGCGCACCCTCAACGTCGACGGTGTCGAACGACCTTATTTTGAGCCGCTATTCTGGGCGGGATTGATCATCGCCAGCTACCTGCCCAGCACCGCATTTCCCACCGGTCCATCACAACAGGGTCTGCCGATTGGACTGCAGGCGGTCAGCGGCCCTTATCAGGATCATAAATGTATCGCCTTTGCACATCTGTTGGCGCAGGAAATCGGCGGCTTCGTGCCGCCACCTGGATTTGCCAGCTAAGGGGCACGCCATGTCAAATCCGTTTTATTCCAGTGATGAAAACACCCACTTTTACCCGATTATTTTTGTTCGCGGTTTTGCCATGCGCGACGCTGATATCGAACAAGCGGTGAACGAACCCTTTTCGGGATTCGAAAACGGCTCCACCCTGCTGCGCCAGGGTGTAGGCGACGATCTTGTGCCGTTCTATTTTGAATCGCCGGTGATTCGACTGGTAACCGAATGCGGCTATAGAGACGTTTATCACAATGGCCGCGAACCTCAGCAGGCAGAGGACCTGGCTGGTCTGGTCGACCCTGGCAGGGCGCTGTGGGTTTATCGCTACTACGAACAAGCCAGTGAGCATTTCGGCGACGGAAATCGGGATGAAATCGAAACCCTGGCGTCAGGCCTGCACGATATGATTGAACGGCTGCGCGATCTCTACACAGCATACGGCGAGAGTATCGGTGTCGACTATGGCAGTGCGTTCAAGGTTTTCCTGGTTGCACACTCAATGGGGGGCCTGGTGGTACGCAGTTACCTGCAGAAAGTACTGCCTGCCAGACAAGGTGCACAGTTTAATCCGGCCAACCTGCCTGTTGATAAAGTGTTCACCTATGGCACGCCGCACAATGGAATAGAGCTACAGGGCCTCGGCAATCGTATCAATGTTGGTTTATACGATATCAACAATTTCTACCGCCCGAACATGGCCAAATATCTGGGTTTTGCCAAAAATCACGGTAACAAACCGGTCAACAGCCTGAACGGCAAGTTTCCCGCGGAGCGGCTGTTTGCTCTGATTGGCACCAATGAATCTGACTACGATGTGCCGCTTTCAGCAGCAGCGGTAGGCGCCATGAGTGATGGGCTGGTGCGTATAAAAAACGCCTACACCAGCGGGTCACCTCGGGCACACGTCCATCGTGCGCACGGCGGCCCGGTGGGCCTGGTGAATTCCGAAGACGGATATCAGAACCTGCACCGATTTCTTTTCGGCGACACGCGCATTGATGGAAAGCTTCAGGTCAATGGCCTGACGCTACCGAAGAAAATTGAACAGGCGCAGCTGACCAACCAGTCAGTCGACGCAAATCTGTATTTTGAAACGGTAGTCTCGGTACGCGGCGGTCGGGGTTGGAATCTCACCCGACGCAAATTCAGCGAAAATTCGGCGGTGCGACGTCAGCTGAAGCGGTTCTATACGCAGCAAAATACATTCCAGTCCAATTCCGTGGCGTTGTTTTCATCTTTCCTGCGCAAACATCTACTGATCAACAAGCGCATGAAATATATGGCTTTTGCCATCGAGCTGGGTGTATTCACCGATCGCATTGAGGTAGATCGGAAATGGTGGCTGGACGAACATTTTGACGGCATCAGCTTCCTGAAACAGAAACTGTTTATTGAAATCGCACCTCCAGGAGGCGATGGCAGCTGGAAGCTGAAATACGCGATCGACAGCCCGGAGAGCAGCTACAAGCAGGTTCAGGCAGTACCTGGTCAGGATGGGCAATGTCGTTTTGTCATCCCCGTCACAACCAGCAGAAGACCGGGTATCGAAGCGAAGCTGATACTGGATGCTTCACCCTGGTCCTGATCCAGAGCAAATTATCTAACAGGAATCCAAACATGTCAGATCTCAACGAATTCAGATTGCAAACCCGGGACTGGCTGGCACAGAACTGCCCTCCTGGCGCGCGTGGCCCGGGTGAAATTCATACCGGTAGCACCAAGGTCAAACTACAGAACCCAGACACCCAGGTCTGGATGGAGCGTATGGCCGAGCGCGGCTGGACAGTACCGATGTGGCCAAAAGAATATGGCGGCGCCGGTTTGAGTCTGGATGAGGCTAAGATCCTGTTTGCAGAAATGGCCGCGATTGAAGCACGTCCGCCACTGGTGAACATGGGCACCCGTATGCTGGGACCAACGTTGCTGGAATACGGCACCGAAGCGCAGAAAAGACGTCACCTGACCACCATCGCCTCAGGCGGTGCAGCCTGGTGCCAGGGCTATAGTGAGCCGGGTGCGGGGTCCGATCTGGCCAGTCTGCGAACCAAAGCTGAAGATAACGGCGATCATTTTGTGATCAACGGCCAGAAAATCTGGACCTCAGGTGCGCAGAACGCAGACTGGATGTTCTGCCTGGTACGCACGGATTTTGACGCGCCGAAACACCAGGGCATCAGTTTTGTGCTGCTGCCCATGGACCAGGAAGGTGTCACCGTGCGCCCCATATCTCTATTGTCTGGCAGCTCACCATTCTGTGAAACATTCCTGGACAATGCAATTGCCAGCAAAGAAGACCTGATCGGCGAATTGAATGATGGCTGGACAGTGGCAAAAAAACTTCTGCAACATGAACGTTCCGGCCAGGGAGGGCTGGGGGCGTCTGCCGCGAAAACCCGGCCTGTCGGCGTCACCGTGGATCTTGCCCTGGAAGAGGTTGCGCGTACCTATATCGGTACACACGCGCAGCGCATAGCCGAGCCCGGGGCACGGCGTCAGGTCACCGAATGGAACATGAACAACACCGCCTATGCTTTGACCCAGAAACGAGTGGGTGAAGAACTTCAGGGCGGCGGCACACCGGGTGAAGCCACCTCTATCTTTAAACTGTACGGATCCACCCTTGCCCGGGAAAAACAGGACATTCTGATGCAGCTGATGGGCACCCGTGGAGTGGGTTGGGCAGGAGACGCGTTCACCGCAGACGAACTGGGCACAACGCGCTCCTGGCTTGCCAGCAAAGCGGTGACAATTTACGGCGGCACTAACGAAGTGCAGAGCAATATCATTGCCAAAAGAGTGCTGGGACTGCCCGACTGAGCCGGCAGGCTAACGTGTAAAGCTATAGCGTAAACCCGCAAACGCGGTACGTCCCGGCAAAGCATAACCGATCTGGTCTGAGTTGTTCTCGTCAAACAGATTTTCCACGCGCACATAAACTTCTAACGCGTCAGTAAACGCGTAGGCAGCGTTCACGTTCACCGTTGTGTAACTGTCTATCTCCGTACGCTCGGTAACAAAGCCGTTGGTAAAAAAATTACGGAAATCGCTGTCATACGAATCACCATTGTAGACCGCACCAGCGGCAAGATTTGCACGCCCCGCCAGAAATGAATGAGCGATACGAATACTACCCATATGTTCAGGGCGTCGCACCTCAATACCGGCAGGCTCTTGTGCATCGGTATACGTGTAGTTTGCATTCAACACAGTGTCTGGTGATATCTGCCAGTCTGCGCTGAACTCTACACCTTGACGATCACTTTCCCCATTGAGATTGATTACCGAGGGAAAACTGCTGGCAATTTCATTGTCGAGAACAACATCAAAATAGGTGACATCAAGCAGCAGCGCGGCATCGAACAGCGTCTGAGAAACACCCACATCCCATCCGGCAGATTCTTCAGGCTCCAGATCCGGATTACCGACAAAGGTTCCCGGCACAAAACCGAACTGTTCCAGAAACGTTGGATTGGTCACCGCAGCACCATAACTGGCATGCAGTCGACTGCCTGAATCGTTTAATAGATAGGAGGCATCCAATGCATAAGTTGTGGTGTCTGCAAAGCCATCATTGTTTTCGAAACGCAGAGACCCGTTGATGAAAAGCTTTTCAGAAAATGCCAGCCGATGCTCCAAACCATAGCCAAACATATCGCGCTTCTGCGTTGGCACCTGAGTCGGATCTACCGGAAACAGATTCTTGAAGGATTCTTTTTCATATTGCACAAACAACGTGGTTGTTTGACTGAAGTTGCCGACATCAGGCCAGGCCCAACTGCTGTCCAGGTTCACCTGCTCTCTGTCTGACTCACTGCCAAAACTTTCACCATTGAGCTGTGTATCGGTAAACGCAACGGCAAGTCTCGTAGTGGATCGATCATCGAACAAGTTCAGCGTGGTGGTGAATCCAAGGGTCAGATCATCTGTGTCGGAGGTACTGTTGTCATCTACTGGCAAACCCTGCTGGGGCCCACCACTGAAATCAAACCCATCCGTGTCTGTCTGTTTTTCTGTATACCGGGCAAATGCCTGCAGCGTTAACTGTTCTGTTAGATTTACAAACAGCTGCCCACTGACGGTCTGGTTCTCAACTCTGTCATCTTCACCACCCATGACGGAATCATCTGCAGATAAGTCGAATTCGGATTCACGCTGCACGTAGCTCAGCCGACCTTGCACCCGGCTGTTACCAGCGGCAACCGTCAGGCCTGCATGGCGATTATGGTGACCGCCTGCTTCGAGTTCACTCTGTATTGCCAGGCCTTCAACCGGCTGCCGGGTAATGATATTGATCACACCTCCCAAGGCATTGGAACCGTATAAACCACCCTGCGGTCCGCGCAATACCTCAATGCGTTCTATGTCTGCAGACAACAGCGAGGACATGTCGAATTCGCCGGAGCCCGCCGCGGATGCGTCAATACCATCGATCAGGATGACGCTATGGTTGCTTTCCGCCCCGCGAATGCGCACTTGAGTTAAGCCGCCATATCCGCCGCTGCGACTGACCGCTACGCCTGGTACAAAGCGCAACAGATCTGCAGCATATTCGTAGCCGAGATTCTGGATATCAGATTCGTCGAGGACGCTGACCGCCCTCCCCACGGTGAAAGACTCAGTTGGCAGGCGTGAACCGACAACCAGTAATTCTTCTTCAATACGTTCAGATGCCAATACCGGGCAGGCAAACACGCTGAACAGGCTGCCTAACGCAGCATACTTATAAGCACTCATCGACATTCTCCAATAGCCGCTGCACCTCGAGCGGGGCTTGTGTGGTAATGAAGAAAGGATCGGTCTACGGACTGATGAGCTGAAAAAAAACATCGCCTGTTCGCCTTCCCATGCCAAAAGGCACAGTGGCTGTCATGAACAGACATCACTCGAATTACCGTTGCGAGGCCAGTATCAGAATTTCACTGATTTCCCGGACATCCCCCCTCATGTGTGCCTTTATAGCAGGAGATTCCTGCTATAAAGGCTTGCGCATACTATGGGCCTCACTCGCGGCTGGCAAATGCGGCAGATTCAAGATGACCCCAGTTACGCTAATGCTTTATCAAACAGGTGCAATAACCGGCTCCAGGCGCGTTCGGCTTGAGCTTCGTTATACACCCGCGAATCCGGCACACACCACCCATGCAGCGCACCTTCGTAGACTTCAACTTCAGCCTCAAGTCCGGCATCTGCAAAGGCAGCAGCGATAATGTCCTTGGTCTCTGGTTCGCGCTCATCATCGTTTTGGGCAACCGCAAACAGATACTGGGCACGCATATCGGGTACCAGCAGATGTGGGCTGTCAGGTGCATCTGTCACCAGCCGTCCGGCATGGAACGCACCCCCTGCGGCTATACGCTCAGGAAATGCCGCCGCGGTGCGCATAGTCATCGGGCCACCCATACAATAGCCAGTGGTGCCGATACCGCGATTTGTGTCCACCGCCGGTTGAGCATCCAGATAAGCCACAAAGGCGCCTGCGTCTGTCACATTCGTTTGTGGGGTCAGGCTACGGGCATACGGCATGACCACCTCGCGGGTTTCTGCATCCTGAAAGGATGCACCTTCACCTACTACCGGCGCCCTGGCACTTCGGTAATACGGATTGACCACCAGTACCGCATAGCCAGATTCAGCCAGGCGCGTGCCCATCTGCTTGAAGGCTGGACGCAGGCCAAGAATATCCGGCCAGACGATCACTGCCGCATGCGCACCGGATGTGGGATGCACAAAGAAACAATCTGCTTCGCCATCCGGGGTTGATACCACCACATCTGCACCCGTAACCGAAAGTGCATTTGCAACGGGTGGCAGTACAGCCATCAGCGCAGCCCCGGCTGCCAGCGTGCCGAACTGGCGACGACTGATACCTTTGCCTGCCAGATACTTCTCACCGTCATCAACGGTCAGGTCATCACACATCAGACTTCTCCTGTCTATTAGATAGACCCCTATCATCCATAACCTGCCAGCAGATACCAGGCCATATTCTTCAGGCCAGTTAAATCCGCCCGTAGAGCGCCGTAGTATTTTGATGACTATCATTATATTCTTCAGCTTGTCTGCTTATCCAAGCACAGCTCAATGATTGGAGCCCTATGAAAAAAATTGTATTGGTCGCGATTGTCCTGGTCTTACTTGGATATATAGCATGGACCCAGCGCGTTGAACTGCTCGTCTGGGGGATGCCCAAAGTTACCGAACTGGTTTCACCAGTGCCGGAAAACGTACCCACCAACTGGACTTCAGGCCCTACCAGCGCTGCACTCGACCCTGGGGAGCGTCAACCGAATATCATTGTGATCCTTGCAGACGACCTCGGATTTAATGACATCTCTCTGTACAACGGTGGTGCAGGCGACGGCAGCATCATGACACCGAACATTGATGCGCTGGCTCAGGAAGGTGTTCGCTTCAACAACGGTTATGCGGCCAATGCCGTCTGCGCGCCATCCCGCGCATCATTGATGACAGGACGCTATTCAACACGCTTCGGTTTTGAATTCACGCCGTTTTTTAAAACCGGCGCGACCATTTTTCAGTGGATGCAGGATATCGAGCAACCTGCCCTGCCGACCATTATTGATCATGGCAATCTCGAGAGCCTTCCACCGATGGGTGAGCTGGGCATGCCACCCGCAGAGCAGACCATTGCTGAAGTGCTGAAAGCGCAGGGTTATTACACCGCACATATCGGCAAATGGCACCTGGGCAGCACCGCGGAAATGCGACCAACCGGCCAGGGCTTTGACGACAGCCTGTATATGGGTGGCATGTTGTACCTGCCTGAAGATCATCCCGAGGTGGTCAATGCCAAACGCGAGCAGAACGGCATAGAGCGAATGGTCTGGGCAAACGCCAGATATATGGCGGACTTCAACAACCAGGGTAACTTTGCCCCAGAAGGCTATCTGACGGATTACTATACCAACGAAGCCGTTAAGGTCATTGAGGAAAATCGACACCAGCCGTTTTTTTTGTACCTGGCCCATTGGGGTGTACATAACCCGTTGCAGGCGCTGAAAAGCGATTACGACGCGCTATCGCATATTGAAGACCACCACCTGCGTGTCTATTCGGCCATGATCAAATCCCTGGATCGCAGCGTTGGTAAAGTGGTTGAAGCCCTGGACGCCAACGGCTTAACCGACAACACGCTCATCGTATTTACCTCCGACAATGGTGGCGCCGGTTACATTGGCCTCCCGGACGTCAACAAACCCTTTCGCGGCTGGAAACTGACTCATTTTGAAGGCGGTACACACGTGCCCTTTCTGGCCAAATGGCCGGCGCAAATTCCCAGCGGCAGCGTGGTTGATCATCCCGTACATCACGTCGACGTGTTTCACACTGCGGCAGCGGCCGCTGGCGCACAGGTGCCCACAGATCGGAAACTTGATGGCCGCGACCTGGTGCCTTATGTCCGCGGGGAACGATCAGGCCCGCCCCACGACACCTTGTTCTGGCGCGAGGGTTATCACCAGTCGGTATTACATGATGGTTGGAAGCTGATCCGCAGCGACAAGCCAGACAACAAACACTGGCTGTTCCACCTGGCTCAGGATCCAACCGAACAGCACAACCTGGCCCAGCAGATACCCGACCAGGTGGCCCGTTTAAGTGCCCTGCTGGATGCGCACAACGCCGAGCAGGCACCACCAATGTGGCCGAGCATCACCCAGGCACCACAGCTCATCGACAAACACGGTGGCGAGCCTTACGAACCCGGGGACGAATATATTTACTGGCCTAATTGATCGCGCAAGCGGATCTGGTGGCGCTAACAACGGTGCTAAGCTGTCTGGTGAAGCTGCTGCAGACTAATCATCTGCAATCGGGTGCATGCCGCTGTCTGCAATGCCATGGTCACGTCGGTTACCCGGCACACGTATGTCTTCGACCAGGTCTTGAATGTCCTGAGGTGGCGCAGGCGTCAACAACGCAACGCTCATACCAATGCCCAGGGCTAACCACATAAAGACAAAACCAATGCCCTCTGGCGAAACACCAAACAACCACTGGTCAGGGGTGCCACCACCAAATTTGAAAAAGTAAATATAGCCAAAGGTACTCACCAACCCTGTCAGCATGGCGGCGATCGCGCCCTCTTTGTTCATGCGCTTCCAGAATATACCCAGGAAAATAATCGGAAACAGAGACGCGGCGGCAAGACCAAAGGCAAAAGCCACCACCTGCGCGACAAAACCCAACTGACTGGCATAAAGGCCTAACAGACCCGCAGCAAGCACCGCTCCGGCTGCAGAAAAGCGCGCCACGCGCAGTTCAGTGGTATCACTCATATCTTTGAACAGCGTCCGTCGACACAGATCGTGACTGACCGCAGAAGAAATCACCATCAGCAATCCCGCCGCAGTCGACAGCGCTGCAGCCAGTCCACCGGCCACCACCAGTCCTATGACCCAACCAGGCAACTGAGCAATCTCCGGATTGGCGAGGACAAATATATCGTTATTGGCGTCTACTTCGTTGGCCAGCCCATCTGGTGCTGCCGGGCCACGGATCTGCATCAGGCCGTCGTTGTTTTTATCATCAAAGCCAACCAGGCCGGTCTGTTCCCAGGACTTGAACCATTGTGGCACCGGCTTGCCGCCTTGTGCCAGGACGGCTGTTGCCGCGGCTTCATAATTCTCATCGCTGATATAGGTGGCCTCGTTAACCGTCTCGACGAAGTTCAAGCGTGCAAAAGCACCCACTGCCGGGGCAGTGGTGTATAACAGGGCAATGAAGACAAGCGCATAGCCTGCAGATATGCGAGCAGCCCCAGGGTTACGGACGGTAAAAAACCGAATAATGACATGGGGCAGCCCGGCAGTGCCGAACATCAACGCAGCAGTGATACAAAACACATCAAACATGCTTTTACTGGTGGAGGTGTATTCAAGAAAGCCCAGGTCACTGACAACCTGATTCAGCTTATCAAGCATCGAAACATCGGTGCCTTTCACATCACCAATAAAGCCCAGTTGAGGAATCGGATTATCGGTGATGATCAGGGATATAAATATCGCCGGCACAGTGTACGCAAAAATCAGCACACAATACTGTGCCACCTGGGTATAGGTGATGCCTTTCATACCGCCCAGCACCGCATAGAAAAATACGATGACCATGCCGATGACAATGCCCCACTCGTATTCGATGCCAAGGAAACCGGAAAAAGCGACGCCAACACCTTTCATCTGTCCGGCGATATAGGTGAAGGAAACAAACAACGCACAGACAACAGCCACAACGCGCGCAAACGATGAATAGTATCTGTCACCAACAAAGTCCGGCACGGTGAATTTGCCGAATTCACGCAGAAACGGCGCCAGCAACAGTGCCAGCAGGACATACCCGCCGGTCCAGCCCATCAGGTAAACAGACCCGCCGTAGCCGAGAAAAGCAATCAATCCGGCCATGGATAAAAACGACGCCGCGGACATCCAGTCAGCAGCAGTAGCCATACCATTAAGGACCGGGTTTACATCATGTCCGGCAACATAAAAATCATCTGTAGATCCGGCACGGGACCAGATGGCGATACCGATATAAAGGGCGAAGGTAACCCCGACAAACACAAAGCTCCACGTGGTCTGATCCATTACTGAGTCTCCACGCCATATTTCTTCTCGAGCCGCTTCATTGCCCAGCAGTAATAAAACACCAGCGCCACAAAAAAGTAGATGGACCCCTGCTGGGCAAACCAGAACCCCAACGGCGCACCACCTATCAAAAACTGATCAAGGAATTCACGAAAAAGAATACCGGCACCATAAGAACAGGCAAACCAGATAACCAGCAACACCGTGGTCAGCCTGAGCGTTGCTGACCAGTACCCTTGCGCGTCTGTCTTCTGTGCAGACTTCGACATACCTCTCCCCCCCTGTATCAGATCACTTGTGCCGCTAGTTGCCCGAGAACATATCCTCTATCTCGGCCAGGTCAAGACCGCCGTCAAAGTTGGTGTCGACAAACCACCACTTGAACCAGCCAAGACGCTTTCGCAACCCTTCCGGCAATTCATCTTTTGCCAGCTTGCCATCTTTGTCTTTGTCCATGAAACCGATGAACTGCGCACTGCCTGCGGTCAAATTGCTGTGTATGGGTGCGTCCGAGCGTTCTTTTTCCCAACTGAAACTGACGGAGCCATACAGCATTTCGTCGTGGGACTGCAAACCCCAGGGCACTTCGCGCTCCGGGTCCGGGTTGGCTGGATTGGCCGAAGAATTATCATAAACCGTGCTGTGTACAATGCGCGTGCCTTTCGGCACTCGCTTGGGCTCCACAAAACTGTAAGTGCGCTGCCAGTTAAAGTCATAATTCGGAACTGACAATATCGTTTCGCTGCTACCGTCGGGGTATTCCAGATCAAAGGTGGAGGCTTTGCCGCGATAGTGTGAATGCGGCACCAGCGAATAAATTGTCGCGTCTTCCCAGAATTCAAAATAAGCCGATTCAACATGATCCGCCACGTTGGCAGGTATTTTCAGGCGTGGATTCAGGACCACCTGCTGACGTAGAAAATTAGCGGGTGGTTCATCGGAAAAATACAGAGCCACTTTGGTGGTATCCGTTGTTGCAACACCCACCGGCGTGTAATGCATCTGAAACTGATAAACGCCACCCACGGGAACAAAAACACCCGTCCCAGCTGGCATGTGGGCAGACTCGTTACCGGGTGCGTAACCCATGATGTAGTTCTGAAAGACGCTCTCGCGGTCACTTTCTGTTGGCGCCTGTTCAGCAGAACCCATCAGCACATGGTGCACCACACGGGTATCGCCAGGCACAATGGTTGCGGCCTCAACCCAGACGTCTCGATCCAGAGGGTTGGCTACAACCGGGAACTGGTAATCCACAACGCCGGTCGCCGGGATCTCAAAGGTCGGAATTTCCAGCACCAGATCCGGTTCACCCAGAGGCCATTGTGGCGCTTGATCGCGAGCAACCAGCAGCGGGTCTTCCCCCGTACCACGCGGCGCTCCAGCTTCAATCCAGCGGATCAATGTCTGTGTGTCCGCATCAGACATGGCTGCACTGTGCTGCCATTGCCCAATCTCAGGATCAGCGTGCCAGGGCGGCATACGCTTTACCCGTACAACTTCACGAATCATTGGCGCAAAGCCCTGGATCATGGCGTATTCACTCATTGCCCAGGGTCCGATGCCGCCTTCAACGTGACAGGCCATACAGTTTTCCTGCAATATCCGCGCAATCTGCGTGGCATAGTCGGCCACCGGCCCAACATCAGGCAGGCCCAGCATACAGCCTTCAGGCTCGGGGCCCTGTTGGCTTGAAGATGCACCGTCATGGGTCACCAGTTCAGCTAACAAGGTAGACCCAACATCACCCTGGTAACGAATCTGCCAACCAGACGTATCCACCAGCATCGCATCACCCACCTGATCGAATCCCAATGAAGGTGCAATGATCTGTGCTTGGTCGTGAAGAATCGGCACTTCAATTCCGTTATCTGTTGCAGCCTGCGCAATCCAGGCGCGACTATCTGTGGAATTTATCAGGAGGACTCTCAGTTCCGGCTGCGCTGCTCTAAGGGTTGCCAACGCTTGAGTATCCAGTGAACAGCTGCTCCCATGGGCAACCAGGAGCACGCGCTCAGAGGTGTCATCATAATAAAGTTCATGGGCGAGTCCCGTGTGATCGAGCAGCACAAAGTTCTCGGCCCGCTCAGCAGCCATGCCTGTGGCAGGTAACAGAAGCGCGACAAAGACAAACAAGACCGCACGCAGTTGGTGTCTAAACGCATGTCGATAATTCATAGATACTGCTTCATAAAATAATCCGCGAGTGTAGCAGATGCTTACGGCAGCACTCGAGTTCCACTTCCCACCTTAAAAAGCCCATGAGAGGGTTAGCGCGCGTAATGCAATTTCAAACTCGATATCTGACTCAATACAGACGGCAAGCGACGTGTCGTTAATCTGCCTGTTTGGCGCAACATGACAGTTACCTCTACACCAGCTTGATGCTTTCATCTCTCTCCCACACCACATATGATAAGCATGCGTACTTTCAAACACGACATTGACATGGATCGTCCAGGCGATGCCCTAGCGTGCTTGGTACATGACCAAATCAATTATCTGAATCAATTAAAAGAGGAACGAAATGCAAACTGATCTATGTAAGAAGCTCGGCATCGATTTTCCAATTTTTGCTTTTACGCATTGTCGCGACGTTGTCGCCGCCGTCACCAATGCCGGGGGTATCGGCGTTTTGGGCGCAGTCGGTTTCCGTCCAGAGCAACTGGCCATCGAGCTGGACTGGATAGATGAACATGTCGGCGATCGGCCATATGGCGTGGACGTCATTATTCCCAACAAATATCAGGGCCAGGACGAAAAGGATGAAGAAAAACTGCGCACCATGATCAGTGCAGCAATTCCCCAGGGACATCGAGACTTTGCAGACGAACTGCTCGACGCGCATGGCGTGCCGCGACTGAACAACGAAGGTAAGACGACAGACCGCCTCTCGATGACTGAAGCCACATCAGCGCCACTCGTAGACATCGCCCTTCAACACGACAATGTAAAACTAATCGCCAACGCACTGGGAACACCACCACCTGAAATAATCAGACAAATTCAAGACAGCGGTCGCATGGTTGGCGCCCTCTGCGGGTCGCCGAGACATGCAAAAATGCATGTCGACGCCAGCCTGGATTTTATCATCGCGCAAGGCGGCGAAGGCGGCGGGCACACAGGAGAAATTGGCAGCATGGTGTTGTGGCCTGAGGTCGTCGACGTTGCCGGAGACATACCAGTTATAGCAGCAGGCGGAATTGGCTCTGGACGCCAAATGTATGCAGCGCTTGCTATGGGTACCCAGGGAGTATGGTGTGGTTCGCTATGGCTTACCGTTGCCGAGGCCGCCACCACGCCGATCGAAAAAGAACTGCTACTTGCGGCGAATAGCAACGAAACTATACGTTCAGCGAGCGTCACCGGCAAACCAGTGAGGATGCTGAAAAATGCCTGGACCGAAGCTTGGGATGCCGGCAACAACCCACAATCACTCGATGCACCCATGCAGATGATGGCTGTTGGTAATGCCATGAAACGCATGCGCCGCTTTCCAGAGCAATCCAGGGAACTGATGTTTGTGCCAGTTGGACAAATCGTTGGACGACTCAATCATGTCATGAATGCACGCGATGTCGTCATGCAGTTAGTAGAGGAATACCTAGAGACCAGCGATCGCATGAACGGTTTGTTGCCGGACGTTTCATGAGAGACGGGCGTTTTGCCGACGATGTTGTCGTTGTTGCCGGTGATGCGTCTGCAATCCGCGAAGCGACCCCCCCCTGTTCAGCATGGAAGGTGAGCACATGTCTGTCATAGGTATCGATGGTCGATACGACGAAGACATAGGGACGTTTCACGACCAGGGAATTGCTGCTGCCATGTTAAAAGACACCAGTTTGGCTGCCGGAAACGGCTTGCTAGAACACTGCACTGGCATCTACTAAGACCCCGCAACATTGCCTACCGAATTCCTCCTGATCACATTACTGTAAGCTTGTTTACTATGCTCATTTATGTAATAAAGAATCCAGCCGAGCTGCAAGGAATGCCTCGGGCATGCGCCACAAAACTAATGAAGTTCCAGCACGACCTGAACCACAAGGAGGCCGCAAGTGATTCCCGCAGGCATTATTTCAGCAGATGGTCATATCTGCGAACCACCCAACTGCTATGTCGATTTTATTGAGCCAAAATATCGCGAAGACGCGCCACGTATCGTAGAACAGGAGGATGGTACCGAGGCGTTTGTTATTCCGGGCATGAAAAAACCTATTGCACTGGGCTTCATTGATGGCGCCGGGTTTGGTGTCCGAGAACGTTTCGACCGCGCAAAGAAGATTCGTTTCAGCGACATTCGCAAAGCTGCGTACGACGGACCTGCACGGGTACCTTTCATGGATCAGGACGGGTTGGCTGCTGAGATTATCTATGCCTCCGTGGGCATGGGACTATGCATGCACAAGGACCCCCTCTACAAAAATGCCTGCATGCAAGCCTACAATCAATGGTTACAGAGCATGTGTGCGGATGCACCCACGCGCATTTTCGGTCTGGCTCAAACGGCAGTCCTGAGTGTCGATTCAGCAATCGCTGATTTTCGCAAAGCTAAGGAGATGAACATGGTCGGCATGATGATGCCAGGAGACCCCATCCACGAAGATTACGACCACCCCGACTATGACGCACTATGGGAGTGTGCAACTGACCTCGACCTGCCCGTCTGTTTTCATATCCTCACAGGGCGTGCTGGAAGCCTGCACGTAAAACCCCGCGGTCATGCGATGAATAGCTTTCTAGGCATAATTCGCGCAGTACAGGACATCGTCGGTTTGATGGTGCTTGGTGGCGTGTTCGAGCGACATCCAAATTTAAAACTTGTGGTTGCGGAAAGTGATGCTGGCTGGATACCTCATTACATGCACCGCATGGACCACGCCGCCAAAATTCATGCCGAAGACGGCATTATAAAAGGTTTGTCACAACTCCCAAGCGAATACGTGAAAAATAATGTCTGGGCGACCTTTCAGGATGATCGCACCGCCTTTGAATCCCTGCATATGATCGACTACAAGCATCTGCTCTGGGCCAGTGATTTTCCTCATACAGATTCAACATGGCCAGAGTCATTGGCATTAATTGCGGACCAAACCGCCAAGCTGAACGATGATCAACTACAAGCCATCTTGCGCGACAATACCGCAACGCTGTTCAACCTGCCCGCGGGCAACGAAAGCTGGCGGATGACGCCATGACACATCTGCTCTATGAAAAACGAGGCGGTGTTGCCTATCTCACCATGAACCGACCTGAAAGACGCAACGCGCTGAGCCCACAAATGATCGTGGAAATGGCAAATGCTTGGCGAGATTTCCGAGGCGACGACAATATGCGCGTCGCGATTCTTACTGGAACGGGTGACAAGGCGTTCTGCGCCGGTGCCGATCTGGGCTTACTGATACCACTTTTTTCACGCGCTCGAGAGCCTGACGATGAGTTCGATGAAGCTCTGATCAAAGACCGCTCACTCATGCAAATTGCATTGTTACGCGATTTCGAGTTGTACAAACCTGTGGTAGCCGCTGTGAACGGATTCGCCCTGGCCGGTGGCACCGAAATATTACAGGCAACTGACTTCCGCATCTCAGCACCAACTGCGGAATTCGGATTAACCGAAGTTTCCCGCGGCATTGTTCCCGGAGGCGGCTCACTGGTCAGATTGGCAAGACAGATTCCCTACTGCAAAGCTATGGAAATATTGCTATTGGGGGAGCGTATGCCTGCTGAAGAAGCACTGCGCATTGGTTTGATCAATGAGATTGTCGCCGCCGAAAATCTTCAATCGCGGGCTGCAGAGGTCGCCGGGCGAATAGCCGAAAACGGCCCACTAGCTGTCGCTGCGTGCAAAGAAGCAGTCATTCGAACCAGTGGCCTGGCGCTTGAACAAGCCTTTCCTATCGAAACCGAAATATCCGCACGCATTATGCGCACTGAGGACGCAATTGAAGGTCCTAAAGCGTTCATGGAGAAGCGAAAAGCAGTGTACCGGGGAAAATAACTATGCCTGAGGCCACATCCAAGCCAAAACTAAAAGTCGCATTAGACGATGACCATGTTGCCACTGTCGAGCTCACCAACGGCGATTACAACTTTTTCGACATGGAAATGCTGATGGGGCTCGCAGAAGCTTTCGAAACACTAGATGATACCGCGGCGTGCCGCGCAATCTTGCTTTGTGCCAGCGGTAAAGCGTTCTGTGCGGGTGCAGATTTTCAAGGCGGGAAAAACGGCGCCAATCCCGCGGGCTTAGGAAACTTGGATAAAGGCAGCGGGTTAAGTGGTCATTTATACGAACAAGCCGTGCGCTTGTTTGCTACTAAAAAGCCTATCGTTGCCGCGATACATGGCGCTGCCATCGGTGGCGGGCTTGGCTTAGCCCTGGTTGCAGATTTGCGTGTGGGATGTCCACAAACCAGGATGGCGGCCAATTTCACTCAACTGGGTATTCATCCTGGATTCGGCCTCAGCTTTACATTACCGAGAATTGTCGGCCAGCAAAGTGCCTACGATATGTTCTACACAGGTCGCCGGGTTACAGGAGAAGAAGCATTTGCAATCGGTTTGCTCGATCAGTTCGTCGATCAAGCAGAGGTACGCCCTGTGGCGCAGTTAAAAGCAGCTCAAATTGCTGGCGCAGCCCCTCAGGCGGTGATGTCGGTCCGGGAGACACTCCGCGGAAATTTTGCAGAAGCTGTGCGCAATGCGACCGATAGAGAGTTATCTGAACAAAACTGGCTGCTACGGACACAAGATGCCGCTGAAGGTGTGCGAGCAGTATCGGAAAGGCGAGCAGGCAAATTCACTGGGAACTAGTACTCCTTCCATCTTAAATTTACGGATCAGAGCCTCACAAACGCGCGCGAAGGGAAATTTTATTTCGAACACCACACTATGTACAATCCGGCGCTTCATAATTGATCGATACAAGAAGAACCGAGGAGCAGTATGAGTAAGCGTGAGATTGTCGCCATCTCAGATCATATAGACGGCGAAGATATGGGTTTTCTTGTCTATGAGGTCGCACGTGAATTTACCAACGCTTATGCCCAGCTCATGGCACCTTTAGGACTCACCAGACCACAAGCGCGCGTCCT